AAGTAATGTGGAGCCCTCTATTCAGGCAATCTTTAACTCACACCGTTAGGTGAGTTTTTCTCAAGTCCCTGTGGAGATCAGGGACTTGAAATTCAAATGGTCCATGTCCAGAGCCTCTTCTGAGATGCTTCCTTCAGGAACTATGGTACAAAGGTCATTGGTGCCTGTTGCAGGAGCAACTAAAGGACCTGCTGGTATACATCAGTGGTGATGAAGGTCATCAAGCTGAAGGAGGATGTCTTCAGGACTTGGCTGTCCTAGAGGACTACTGAAGCACCTGGCAGATACTAGGTGGCCAGAAAGACTGCGGATTCTGTGGTTGCAGATGCAAAAACCCAGGCATGAGAGGAATTTGGGGAGGCCAAGGAAAAGGACTTTAGGTTGGCCTTAAGAAGGTTCTGGCAACTCACAAAAGAAAAGCAGGCCACGACCCAAGCTGTGCTTGGTTTGGGTGGGGAACTGCTGACCTGGACTAGTTATATTGTTGAGTGGTGGAAGGAGGACTTCCACATTTACCTTATTGAGAGATATATTATAATWCTCCCAAAAAACCGATGTCCTTCTCCTATTTGGTGGTTCCATTTTTTAATGTATATTGCATTCAAAAATCATTTGGCTGCCATAACACTGTTGTGTCCTATTTTATAAATTGCTTTGATTGGTCTTTCATGATTAATTGATYGATTTAATGTGAWGCTGACCTCTAGGCCAGGTCACCCTTGGAAAAGAGATCTTGATCTCAATAAATAAAGGTGATATTTAATCAGTTATTTTATTTATTTACAAGGCTGTCTTTCGCTCCTCTGCACATATTGACCATCAGAAGCCTGATTACATATGGCAGAACACTTCCTGTATGATCATACGCTTCTCTGCAACTTGAATCACAAGGCAGTCACATGATTCCAGAGAAATTGGGCCTTATTTGTCCTCAGTCACATGATATTATGAAAAACAGCTTCAAACTGGGCATCATTTGGACAGGGCCTCTTTACTCAACATGGACCTTGGGACTTGGAATAAGTTCAAGTTCAAGTTTATTTATATAGCACCAAGTCACAACATATGTTGTCTCAGGGCACTGTCCATAAAAAGAATGATCTAAAGAAGAAACCAGCTGGCTGCGTTGAATCACTTCATCAGAATAGAATAGAATAGAATAGAATAGAATAGAATACTTTACTGTCTGTCACAAGTGGTGACAGAAATTTTCCTTTGACAGGTCTCCAACAACATTATACTTAAACAAAGAGAACATCTAAAATACACAAAAACACATTAAAGTGGAATAAATGACATTTTGTACATTGCTTTCTGGACCAGACTTTAAATCTCAGCTGAGATGAGTGAGGGGGGGGGGATGAGAAGGGTCCTCTGTGAACAGGGTGGTCTTCCTCACCACAGAGGGTTTATACAGTTCAGGAAGGGTTTGAGCTGAACCGGTTTATTGATCCATAACTTTAATAGCAGGTTAGCATTAGTTTTCTCTATTTAATTAGTTCTGATGTCACATGAGCAGAGTACGGTTACATTTCTTTTGGTTCTTTGAATTAAACTGAATTAAACTTAGCTGTGTTTAATGATGATGATAAACTTTTGTTTCAAACAAAAATAAACTGAATAGAACCTGATGATGTTACACTTGGAATTACTACAAATATTACATCCCTTTAAAATTAAATGTAAATTTACCAAATATTCATTCATTTCTAACCAAATGCCAACCAGTGGAACTAAATGTGAACAAAATTAAATAAGAGTGTGATTAGACATAATGTTGAAAATCGGTAAATTGCTCAGTCATTTTTCCTAAACACAGTTGATCTGACCTCTGACCTGACTGATGTGTTTACCATCAGGTGTAAGGGGGTCTTAGTGGGTCCTTTGGCAGACATYTTCTCCCACAGTCCACGTCTAACGTAACGTACTGTGGTCCCGGCCAACTGGAAGTCTCCTGGAAGTTCAATCTTCCAGTTCCCGTTGATTGACCTCCTGCTGGAGTCCTTTAGTGCTGGAAGGAAATGACAAGAAGTAGGAACATCTCATTATCTGATTTCCTTCACATTGCTACACCAGTCCACACTCTTAGGTTCCCTCCTTCAACCATCTTACTGACCCCCCTGTTACTGACCCCCCTGTTACCCACCTGATCTTTGTAACACCACCTCACTTCTTTTTCAATGAGCTTACTCACTGGTTTTAACTGCATCATTTTATTCTGCACTTGGATTTTATTTTATTGAGTCTTTATTGTCTGATTTTATGCTTGATGATGTCACCTTGAGTGTCAAGAAAGGCAACTCTAAATATTTTTATAAATATTGCTTGATTTGGTTTATTTCATTTTTTTCCAGCAGTTGTGTCTTTCTAAGCTCAAAGGAACTGAAACATTAAGTCTTTAAAAAGTTAAAGG